TCCCTGTGAAACCTGCTCCTCCCCCAGCTCCAGTCAGGTCCCATGAATGCTGCCCTCTGCTCGTGCTCAGATGGGCTCCTCCTCCTGCCCAGGCCCCGCCCAGTGTAGCCACTCACGGAACAGACACTTGAATCCCAAAGTCCTGTGTTAACCGTGGGTGGATTCGTGGGGCCTTCGGGGTTGGGTCCTGAGCTTCGGAAGAGACGACACAGAGAGAAGAGGAGGTGCAGCCCCCTGCGTCCTCTCTGCCCCCAGCTGGCCACACAGAGAGAAGAGGAGGTGCAGCCCCCTGCGTCCTCTCTGCCCCCAGCTGGCCACACAGTTGCTCCCGTAGCACCAGCCCCACCCGGCCGCCCGGTGCCCGCTGGGAGCCTCCGAGCTGGGAGCCCAGGTGGACCTCCTGAACTCCTGACCTGTCGGATGCTCCACGTGCCGTAGCAGGAGCTGACCGAGGCAGCCGGGCAGCACAGGAGAGCGCGAGCAGAGTGAGGCTGACGGAGCTCACGGCTGGGCAGGCCGGTGGCTCCTGCTGTGTCGCGGCTGAGCTGTGTCGCGGCTGAGCTGAGGGGTGTACTGTGGCACAGTCCACTCTCAGGGAGGGTGACCGTCCCACATGCTTGCGAGGGAGCAGTGGGCAGCACACGAGAGGCCGTCCACCGTCCAAGCACGGGTGTCACTGCGCTGTCTCAGGAGGGGTCCTCTGCTCCTGAGCCTTTCCTGATGTGCACGGCGGGAGGGGTCTGGTGCCTGCATCCCTTCATCTGAAGGGACTCCACCAAGTGCCCTGGGACCACCTCCCACACGGACACCCCCACCCTGCAGGACCAGAGATCCTCCAGGCTCCTGTACCCCAGGACGGGGGTCCTGGCCCCTCCACCTGGACAGAGCAGGGGTCAGGCCCTGGGCTCCTCTACCTTGGTGAGGCGAGCGAGGAGTCTGTGAACAAGGCTGTGGGCCCAGGGCCCCTTGGAAGGAGAACTCACCCACAGGAGGCCCTGAGCGCAAGGCCTCGTGCCACAGAAGACTGACAGGAGGGCGAGCCGGGCTGGGCAGCAGGGTAGTGAATGCCTCAGCTCCTGGGAAGCCCCATGAGGCTTTTTTTTTTTTTTTTTTTTTTTGACAGGCAGAAAGGTCCTCCTTTTTTCCATTGGTTCACCCCACAATGGCCGCTGATCCGAAGCCAGGAGCTGGGTGCTTCTCCTGGTCTCCCATGTGGGTGCAGGGCCCAAGGACCTGGGCCATCCTCCACTGCACTCCCGGGCCACAGCAGAGAGCTGGGCTGGAAGAGGGGCAACCGGGACAGAATCCGGTGCCCCAACTAGAACCCGGTGTGCCGGTGCCGCTGGGGGAGGATTAGCCTAGTGAGCCATGGCAGCGGCCTAGCCCCGTGAGGCTTTGTGGGCTCTGCTCCCTGGCGTGGGGCTGGGCCTGCAGACACAGGCAGAGACCTTGGCCTGCAGGGAGGACACCCATGCTAATGATTGCCCAGACTGTGGGTGCATCCACTTTCTGTTTCTTAGTTTCAAGTATGGTGAAATGCACAGAACATAAAGTTACCGACTTGGCCGCTCCTAAGCCATAGTTCAGCACAGCCACCCAGCGGTGCGGCCGGCACCACCTCGTCTCCGGAACGTTCTCGTCTCCCCAGACTGAAGCTGGCCCTCTCCCCAGTCCCACACCCCTCTACTCCTGCCCCTGTGGTCTGCCTCCCCCTCACCTGGCACCACAGGGCTGCCTCTAAGCCGGTGTGGACTTCTCAGCTGCCTGCTGCGGCCAGAGTGGGAGCCCAGTGGGAAGGGTCTGGCCTGTTGGGGTTGGGGGTTCCTCGGGCCGCCTTGGCCGCTACTGATAGAAACCTCGCTCCACCCCTGGTGCTGAGTGTCCCTGGGTGTGGGGAGGTGGGAGCTGAACGCCCTGCTCCCTCTCGCCATGCCCCCGAGGGATCTCTGGGGGGCTCGGGGCAGGGAGGGAGGGAGAGCGCGCTTGGGGTGGGCAGCTGGTGGGGCTGCCACATCGGTGGGGCCTCTCACACACCCCCAGGCTCTGGAGAGCAAGTGGTGCTGGAAGCAGAGCCAGGCTGCTGAGGTGAGGTGGGCCTGGACGTCGGGGTGGGGGCAGAGGGCCCTGGGCAGAAAGGGACCTGGAGCCACGGCCCTCACTCTGCCTGTGGCTTGCACCCACACCCATGCTGGAGTTCAACCCCGTCCTCCGTTAATGGCACTCGGAGGGCAGGAGCCTAAGTGGACTGTGGGGCTCAGGGGGCCTCTGAGGAGGGTGCTATCAGATGAGGCCCTCAGGGTGTGGCTGAGCCAGGAGCAGTCACACACGCACACACGCCCTGATGCAAGTGTGCCCTCCTCAAGCCACAGCGGGCCCTGGAATACGCCCCAGAGAGAAGGCGAGACAGTGAACAAGCAACATAAAGCTTTTAAAAACAGATTCTTACCTTTCTCTCTGTCGCTCCCTCTCACTGTCTATAACTCTACCTGTCAAATAAAAATAAATAAAAATAAAAAAACAGATTCTTTGAAAGGCAGAGTGACAGGGAGAGGGACAGAGAGAGATCTTCCTGCACTGGTTCACGCCCCAAATGGCTGCAACACCTGGGGCTGGGCCAGGCTGAAACCAAGAGCCTGCAGCTGCATCCAGGTCTCCCCGAGGGCAGGGGGGCCCAAGCGCTTGGCCATCTTTTGCTTCAGGAGCACTGGTAGGGAGCTGCCTTGGAAGCAAAGCAGCGAGGACCCCGTGTGGGGCACTGGCATCCCAGGCTCCGGCTTAACCACCTGCACCACAGCCTGGCTCCTAATTGAATAAACCCTTAAAACAACTGAAGGTGACTCCTGGCCAAAGTAGAATTTCCTCTACAGCATTCAGTTTTGCTTGATCGTTTCTAGAACTTATCTTTTTCTGGTTGTTTTTGTTTGTTTGTTTGTTTGTTTTGACAGGTAGAGTGGACAGTGAAAGAGAGAGACAGAGAGAAAGGTCTTCCTTTTGCCGTTGGTTCACCCTCCAATGGCCGCCGTGGCCGGCGCGCTGATCTGAAGGCAGGAGCCAGGTGCTTCTCCTGGTCTCCCATGGGGTGCAGGGCCCAAGCACCTGGGCCATCCTCCACTGCTCCACAGGAGCTGTGAGGGGCAACGGCTCCGAGAACAGCAGGTGCCCTGTGCGTCTGCACCCCGCCCCACAGGGACAGAACTGGGGTACAGGCTTGTCCAAGGGCGCACAACTGTTGGGCTAGGGGCCAGGATTTGATCCCCGCCTGACTCAGAACACCGTGTTCCCAACCTTTGTACTTTCTGTCTTGACGATGAAGAATGGGAAACAGCAACCGTGGAGAACTCCTTTTCAAGATTTCACCTAGGGCTGGTGTGGCCCAGTGGGTTCAGCTGCTGCCTGCGATGCCAGCTTCCCATATGAGCACTGGTTCAAGTCCTGGCTGCTCCACTTCCAGTCCCGTTCACTAATGCACCTGGGAAAGCAGCAGAGGATGAACCAACGGCTGGGACCCTGCACCCACGTGGGAGACCCAAAGGGAGCTCCAGGCTCCTGGCTTTGGCCTGGCCATCTGGGGAGTGAGCCAGCAGATGGAAGACCTCTCTCTTCGTAACTCTGCCTTTGCCTTTCAAATAAATTAATCAATTATATTTTAAAAAAGAAATTATAGAAATGATGCAAATGCGCATTTCAGAACAACGCAGGTACGGCGCCTGTGCGCTGAAGGAGAGGCCGTGGGAGAGCCTCTGGTTAGGGTGGGCTCAGTGGGGTCTCCAGGAGGCGGCCCTGGCCGAGGGCCCAGCGCTGCCATCCACGCTGGCAGGGCCGGAGCCCCCGCACTGACCCTGGTGTCTCCGTGTGTTGCCGTGGTGATGCTGTGCCTCGCCAAGCTCCCTCTGCAGAACCACAGCCTGCTGGAGGCCAGCACAAGGAGGGCACTGGGACCTGCCCACTCTTCCCCTCCCCCCAGAGCCGGGTGCTCCCACAGTTGCTGCCCCAGGCAGCCAAGGCCAGCACCCGTGCTGAGGCTGGCTGCCCGTCTCAGGCCACGGGCTGCTCTGGCTTTGTCCCCAGAACCCTGAGCCTCGTCTCCTTTACCTGACCTGACCCGGGCGAGGCTGCTTCCAACGCCTACTGACTCCCAAGGCTGTGTGATAACAACTGCTCGTTCCCATTCCCGAAAGTCCCTCAAAAAGTACAAAGTCCCCACCCCCTGATGCATGCTGCCAGTGCACCCTCGAGCCTGTGGGCCCTCACTCCGATAGAGAGACAGGTGCTGACCACACACCGTGGATCTGAGGGGCAAGTGTGCACGAACAAGACTCACACCTAGTGGTCAGCACCATGTCACAGTGGGTTAATCCTCTGCCTGTGGTGCCGGCATCCCATATGGGCGCTGGTTCTAGTCCCACCTGCTCCTCTTCCAATCCAGCTGTCTGCTGTGGAGGATGGCCCAGGTCCTTGGGCCCTTGCACCGTGTGGGAGACCCATCTGAAGCTCCTGGCTCCTGGCTTCAGATTGGCACAATTCCAGCTATTGCAGCCGTTGAGGAGTGAACCAATGGACGGAAGACCTTTCTCTGTCTCTGCCTCTCACTGTCTGTAACTCTACCTCTCAAATAAATAAATAAAATCTTAAAAAAAAAAAAAAAGACCCACACCTAGTAGCCTAAGCTCTGCTCTGTCTCTGACAGAATGGGCACCAGCCCACCTCTGGGCCCCTTCCTCCTGGTGGGTCTCCAGGGCTCCCAGGGTACCCCAGACTGAGAGCACATGACCTGTGGCCAGGTGGGGCAGCAGGCGAGGGCGGCTGTGTCTGCTCCCCGGGGTGCTGGAACAGGGCCTGGGGGTCCCAAGTCCAGCACCAGTTTCACTGGGCTGAGAGCCAGAGGCAGCTTGGCTGTGATCCCGGCAGCCCCGCTCCTGGCTTCTCAGCTGCACTCCCCTTCCTGGGGCCCCTGCTCCACACTCAGCAACAGTGCAGCTCGGCTCCCAGTCCACGCTGCCTCTGCCTCCGTCTGCAGCCCTGGGGCCCCTCAGACACGAGTGGAATGTGTGTCCCAGGCTCTCAGTTTCACTACCTCCAGTGGGGGAGGGAACCCTCACAGGCTCCAAGGAGTGCAGCCTGACTCCTGGGCACTGACCAGACCACACACACACGTCTCAATGTGGTCACACAGATGTGTGCCTACTCCCACAGGCGGTGGGACCCACATGCGCGTGGCCACGGGCACGCCTCACATCCAAACCTCCGTCCATCCACCTGCTCAGGGGAGATGCAAGAAGCCCAGAGCCGCTCCTGGTGCACAGGTGGGGTCGCCCCCACCCCAGCTCTACAGGCTCTGGCTCCCTCCACCTGGAAGCCCTCCCTCACCCCCTGCCTGCAGAATTTAGCCCAGCTCTGCACCAGCACCTCCTCCATGCAGCCCACCTTGTGGTAAAGCTACTGCACATGGACATGCCTCCGTGCCACACCTACAGTCTCCGGGAAATGTTCGAGGGATACAAGCACAGCAGGAGATCAGAGGTCACTGGGCAGAGCACACCAACGGCGAGTGCACCCCTGTGAGTTCTCTCAGTGCTGGGCCAAGGGATGGGCCCGGCTGAGCAAGCCCTGGGGACTCAGCCTGGGGAAGGGGTCACCCCTCCACCGCTGGCCTCCGCCCCTGAGTGTTAGACCCACGGACAAGGCTCCATGGACCAGCCGGGGGCCTCCTGCTCCAGGTGAGTGCTGGCTCCCTAAGTGGTCACTGGACCTGGGGGGCCTCATGGGTGACTCCCGGGGCTTTGCTCCTGACTTTGCACCCTCTCCCACCACCCCAGCGGCAGGATTCTAGGGACCCCCCCAACACTGTAGCACAGACCCCGGTGCCAGACCCCAGCCTGGTCCCCACAGATGCCTGACGTAGCCTGGCTGCTGCCTGGTCCAGGGAGCCCAGGACCACAGCCTGACGGGGGCTCCCAGGCGAAGGCCAGGCCAGGCAGAGCCTCCTCTCCTGCACTTGACCTGCCTGGCCCTGGAGTGGAGGAAGCAGGCAGGACCTGGGGACCAAGGCAGACCCTAGCACCACAGGTCATTGGTAGCTGTTGTCCACCGTGGATGACCCCATGACACAGCTGAGGGGAAAAAGGGAGTCTGGGACCGAGCCCCTGCCTGCAATGGGCACCTGGAAGCCCCGGAGTGCGGGACGTGGGCACAGCAGCGCCGGGGTCACCCGGGGCAGCACCCTGACGACGCCAACCACCCGCCCCCAGCTCGGAGCCCTGCGCCACCGTGGCCCGCGAGCTGCTCCTGGCAGCCCTGGAGGATCTGAGCCAGGAGCAGCTGAAGCGCTTCCGCCACAAGCTGCGGGACGCGCGCACGGGCAGCCGCAGTATCCCGTGGGGGCGCCTGGAGCTCGCGGACGCCCTGGAGCTCGCCGAGCAGCTGGTCCATTTCTACGGGCCGGAGCCCGCGCTGGACGTGGCCCGCGCAACCCTGAAGAGGGCGGATGTGCGCGACGTGGCTGCGCGGCTCAAGGAGCAGCGGCTGCAGCGTAAGCTCGGGGCACGTGCAGGGGTCCTGGGCGGGTGCGCACAGCCTGGGCGGGGGCCAGGGCGCCGCGTGCCGCCCTCTTCCCGCGTCTGCGTCGCCGGAGGCTTGCTACCCAGGACCGAGCGAGCCCCGGGGGTGCCCCTGGACGAGGCCAGCCCCGCCTCCCCCAGCGGGATCTCAATACGGGTTTCCCTTCCAGGGCTCGGCACCAGCTCCTCAGCGCAGCTCTCCATGGCCGGTAGGTCCTCGGGCGGGAGGCGGGAGGCGGGAGGCGGGAGGCGGGAGGCGGGAGGCGGGAGGCCCCGACCGCCCCGGGTCATGGGCCTCCCAGGACGCAGAGCGAGCGCGACGGCTGGGAGCGGGAGACCAGCAGGTGCCCTCGAGGGCTGACCGTGCCCGTCCCGTCCGCCTGCCGCAGAGTACGCGAAGAAGTACCGCGAGCACGTGCTGCGGCAGCACGCCAAGGTGAGGGAGCGGAACGCGCGCTCCGTGAGGCTGGATCGGCGCTTCACCAAGCTGCTTATCGCGCCCGAGGCCCGCGGGGACCCGGCGCCTGAGGCCGCGCAGGAGTCGCAGGAAGGGCGCGCGCGGCGCTCGGACACCCGCACCTTCAACCGGCTCTTCGGCCGCGACGACGAGGGCCAGCGGCCGCTGACCGTGGTGCTGCAGGGCCCGGCGGGCATCGGCAAGACCATGGCGGCCAGAAAGATCCTGTACGACTGGGCTGCCGGCAAGCTGTACCAGGGCCAGGTGGACTTCGCCTTTTTCGTGCCGTGCCGAGAGCTGCTGGGGCGGCCGGACGAGCGCAGCCTGGCCGACCTGATACTGGACCAGTGTCCGGACCGCGGCGCACCGCTGCCGCAAATGCTGGCGCAGCCACAGCGGCTGCTCTTCATCCTGGACGGCGCGGACGAGCTGCCCGCGGCCCCGGGCGGCCTCGAGGCCGCGCCCTGCACGGACCCCTTCGAGGCGGCGAGCGGCGCGCGCGTGCTGGGCGGGCTGCTGAGCAAGGCGCTGCTGCCCCCGGCCCGCCTGCTGGTGACCGCGCGCGCCGCCGCCCCTGCCAGGCTGCAGGGCCGCCTGCGCTCGCCGCAGTGCGCCGAGGTGTGCGGCTTTGGCGACCGCGACAAGAAGAAGTATTTCTACAGGTACTTCGGGGACGAGCGGAGCGCTAGGCGCGCCTACCGCCTGGCCAAGGAGAACGAGACGCTGTTCGCGCTCTGTTTCGTGCCCTTCGTGTGCTGGATAGTGTGCACCGTGCTGCGCCGCCAGCTCGACCTGGGCCGCGACCCGGCTCACGCCCTCAGGACCACCACATCCGTGTACCTGCTCTTCGCCACCAGCCTGCTGAGCGGCGCCGACGGGCCCCGGATGCAGGCGGAGCTCCGCAAGTTGTGCCGGCTGGCCCGCGAGGGCACGCTCGGGCGCCGGGCGAGCTTCACCGACAAGGACCTGGAGCGCCTGCAGCTCCGCGGCTCCCACGTCCAGAGCCTGTTCCTCAGCAAGAAGGAGATGCCAGGCGTGCTGGACACGGAGGTCACCTACCACTTCGCGGACCTGAGCTTCCAGGAGTTCTTCGCGGCGCTGTCCTACCTGCTGGAGGACGAGGGGTCCCCTGGGGCCGCGGCTGGAGGCGTAGGGACCCTGCTGCGTGCAGACCCGGAGCTTCACAGCGACCTGGCGCTCACCAGGCGCTTTCTCTTTGGGCTGCTGAGCGCGGAGCGCACGCGGGACGTGGAGCACCACTTCGGCTGCGCCATCTCAGAGCGCGTGAAGCAGGATGCCCTGCGCTGGGTGCAGGACCAGGACCAGGGCCAGGGCCAGGGCCGCCCGGGCAAGGCGCGAGAAGACGCGGAAGAGCCGGAGGACGACGACAACGAGGACATCAACTACCCGCTGGAGCTGCTGTACTGCCTGTATGAGACACAGGAGGAGGCGTTCGTGCGCCAGGCCCTGCAGGGCCTCCCCGAGCTGGTGCTGGAGCAAGTGCGCTTCAGTCGCACAGACCTGGCGGTTCTGAGCTACTGTGTGAGCTGCTGCCCAGCCGGTCAGGCGCTTCGGCTGGTCAGCTTCGGGCTGGAAACAGCACAGGAGAGGAAGAAGAAGAAGCGGAGCCTGATGAAGCGGCTGCAGGGGTGAGTGCCACCCAGGCCACATGGCGTCCCTGGGGGCTGCTTTTGTTCATCCCACTTCCCAGATGTCCCCACCATGCCCACCCTCAGCTGTTCCCAACCAAGCAAACCCCCCGGGCCCGGCCTTGCCCTCTGCCCAGCCCTGGTTTCTTAGAATACTTTCTGGAATATTCCATGCTCTCTGTGCCCCGAGCCCTTGCACCTGCCGCCTGTGTTCACAGTCTGCCCTGGCTCCCCAAGGGGCCCAAAAGTGTCCCACTGACCACCTCATGCTACGACAGGGCCCCATGTCCATCTGCCACCAGACGCTTGCACCTCCTGGAGTTTCTCTGAGTTTAGCTCCAACCCAGCACCTGGCCCAGGTGAACATCAGGACGTCGGCAGGGCCTGGGCCTGGGGACCTACAGACCCTCACCTGTGTCTCACTCTGGGTTTGGGGGGCAGGCAGGAAGAGGATAGAGGGGCACTGGCCTGGCTTGGGGGCGAGGGCAGAGGCGGCTCTGGGACCCCAGGACCACGGATGGGAAGGGGTCCTTTCTAGGAGTGAGCGGGCCTCTCACTCCTTCTCCAAGCAGCTCTGGAGCCGCCGCAAAACAACTGCCAGCCTCCCCGCTCCATCCGCTCTGCAAGGCCATGAGTGACCAACAGTGTGGCCTCAGCAGCCTGACGTGAGTGACACCCCAGCCCCTCCCATGGAGGACACCCAAGGGACCCAGGACAGAGGGAGGAGAGGCCTGGGGGGAGGGCTGGGGGGTTGGGGGAGGGCTGAGGGGGCTAGGGGGAGGGCTGAGGAGGTTGGAGGAGGGCTGAGGAGTCTGGGGGGAGGGCTGGGGGGCTGGGGGAGGGCTGAGGGGCTGGGGGAGGGCTGAGGGGCCTGGGGGAAGGGCTGAGGGGGCTGGGGAAGAGGGCTGAGGGGCCTGGGGGGAGGGCTGAGGGGCCTGGGGGGAGAGCTGAGGGGCCTGGGGGAAGGGCTGAGGGGGCTGGGGAGGAGGGCTGAGGGGCCTGGGGGGAGGGCTGAGGGGCCTGGGGGGAGAGCTGAGGGGCCTGGGGGGAGGGCTGAGGAGGTTGGGGGAGGGCTGAGGAGGTTGGGGGGAGGGCTGAGGAGTCTGGGGGGAGGGCTGAGGGGCCTGGGGGAAGGGCTGAGGGGGCTGGGGAGGAGGGCTGAGGGGCCTGGGGGGAGGGCTGAGGGGCCTGGGGGGAGAGCTGAGGGGCCTGGGGGGAGGGCTGAGGAGGTTGGGGGAGGGCTGAGGAGGTTGGGGGGAGGGCTGAGGAGTCTGGGGGGAGGGCTGAGGGGCCTGGGGGAAGGGCTGAGGGGGCTGGGGAGGAGGGCTGAGGGGCCTGAGGGGGAGGGCTGAGGGGCCTGGGGGGAGGGCTGGGGGGCTGGGGGAGGGCTGGGGAGTCTGGGGGGAAGGGCTGAGAGGTCTGGGGGGAGGGCTGAGGGTCTGGGGGAGGGCTGGGGGGTCTGGGGGGAAGGGCTAAGGGGTCTGGGGGGAGGGCTGAGGGGTCTGGGGGAGGGCTGGGGGGTCTGGGGGGAAGGGCTAAGGGGTCTGGGGGAGGACTGGGGGGCTGGGGGAGGGCTGAGGGGCCTGGGGGAAGGGCTGAGGGGGCTGGGGAGGAGGGCTGGGGGCCTGGGGGGAGGGCTGAGGGGCCTGGGGGGAGAGCTGAGGGGCCTGGGGGGAGGGCTGAGGAGGTTGGGGGAGGGCTGAGGAGTCTGGGGGGAGGGCTGAGGGGCCTGGGAGAAGGGCTGAGGGGGCTGGGGAGGAGGGCTGAGGGGCCTGGGGGGAGGGCTGAGGGGCCTGAGGGGGAGGGCTGAGGGGCCTGGGGGGAGGGCTGAGGAGGTTGGGGGAGGGCTGAGGAGGTTGGGGGGAGGGCTGAGGAGTCTGGGGGGAGGGCTGAGGGGCCTGGGGGAAGGGCTGAGGGGGCTGGGGAGAAGGGCTGAGGGGCCTGAGGGGGAGGGCTGAGGGGCCTGGGGGAGGGCTGAAGGGTCTGGGGGGAGGGCTGGGGGTCTGGGGGAGGGCTGGGGAGTCTGGGGGGAAGGGCTGAGGGGTCTGGGGGGAGGGCTGAGGGGTCTGAGGGAGGGCTGGGGGTCTGGGGGGAAGGGCTAAGGGGTCTGGGGGGAGGGCTGAGGGGTCTGGGGAGGGCTGGGGGGTCTGGGGGGAAGGGCTAAGGGGTCTGGGGGGAGGACTGGGGGCTGGGGGAGGGCTGAGGGGTCTGGGGGAAGGGCTAAGGGGTCTGGGGGGAGGGCTGAGGGGTTTGGGGGAGGGCTGGGGGGTCTGGGGGGAAGGGCTAAGGGGTCTGGGGGGAGGACTGGGGGGCTAGGGGAGGGCTGAGGGGTCTGGGGGGAAGGGCTAAGGGTCTGGGGGGAGGGCTGGGGGGCTGGGGGGAGGGCTGAGGGGCCTGGGGGAGGGCAGAGGGCCAGGCTGGTCCTGGCTTGCCTGGAGCCCTCCCACAGGGGATAAGGAAGACAGGACTGGGATTCCTCTGTGTGCTGGGTGCTGTGGCAGATGGCCGGACTCTGGGGTCAGGCTGCCCACATGTCCTGTGAGGCTCCGACTGGCCAGGCCGTGGTTCCCTCCCCCTGGAAGCAGAGCCAGTAGATTCCACCTTGCAGGGTGGATGTGAGATTTCTAAGGCCTCGGCACCCACAGAGCCTGGAGCGTGAAAGCTTCCCAGCCACCGTCAGCTTGCACCACGTGAGCAGAGTCGGAAGTGACCGGAACTGGGGGGGGCAGTGGGCTCGGCCATGGTCACACGGCAAACCCGTTTGGCGTGGGGAGTGGGATATGGCATGGCAATCTGCAAGGCAGCAGAAGGAGCCCACACAGGGGACCACGCATGGGCCGGCAGTCCCAGCCGCATTCGTGCTGAGCCGAGCAGCCGCCACTGCTTGTGGTTCAAACGAGCAGACAGCACAGCCGCCAGGTGCTGCCGCCAGGTAAACCGGGGTCTGCCTGATGGACGGTTCCATGCTGCCGTGAGTCTCCAGAGCAGACCCTGGGCGGGTGGGATAGCGGGCAGTTTGTGCAGCTGGGGGCCTGCGGATGACGCGCGTGCCTCTCGGTCACAGGCTGTCCCACGGCAAACTCTCCGATGCTGTCTGCCGAGACCTCTCGGAGGCCCTGAAGGCAGCCCCTGCCCTGACGGAGCTGAGTCTCCATCACATCAGCCTCAGCGAGGCCGGCCTGCGGGTGCTGAGCCAGGGACTGGCCTGGCCCCAGTGCCGCCTACACAGGCTCAGGTGAGCCTGGCCTGACGGGCAGACGGATAGGGCCCGCCCCCCAGGGTGCAGCGGCCCTGTGTGCCGTTCTGCAGACCCTCAGGTAGAGGCAGGTCCTGCAGGGCACGGTGGGGGCCTGGGGGCTTCCCTAGGGTCTGGACCACCCTCCCCAACCAAATGTCCCTCTGCTGCTTGGCGCCCATGGCCAGTCTGGACCAGTGATTTCAACACCCTCTTACCCCCCAAAGACCCTCCAGCCCCTGCCCCTGCCCCTGCCCCACCCTAGCCAACCACCTCTGTCACGGCATCCCTTTAGCAAGCCTGGCCATAGCTCCCACCTCCCACAGCGCCCCCAGCCCCAGCCTCTTCCCCAGTGGACGCCCTCTGACCTGTGCATGTGCTGTAGTCTGGCCTCTGTGGAGCTGAGTGGGCAGTCTCTGCAAGAGCTGCGGGCTGTGAAGACAGCGAAGCCAGATCTGGTCATCATCCACCCAGCACTGGACGCTGACGCCGAGCCCCTCCGGAATGCAGCAGTGCCCTCTAAAGCCTGGAGGCCAGAGCAGGTGGAGGACCCTGTGGCCAGTGTACCCAGCCGGGGAGGGAACAATGCTTTCAGCCTCCAGCCAATTCGTGTGAACCAAGAGGCCCTGGACGGCTCTGGACGTCACCGACCCAACTCCTTGAGTTCTTCCCCAGGACCTAGGCTGCTCCTCCCACCTGCGTGCCCTGGGCCCCCCGGCTGCACCCCCAGACATGCCCAGAAGCCCTGCTAATCTCACACCTGGTGCGGGTCAGCAGAGTGTGCAGGCCCACAAGCCGGCCCTGTGGGCAGAGACTGGGCCCTCCTCACCTCTGCCTGTTGGGCTGGCTCTGGCCATCCCTGAGGCTCTATGGCCTGCCCTTGGGGCACCCACTGGCCAGGGGGGCAGTGGGGACAGAGCAGCAGCACCCTGCGGCTTGGGAGGCAAACACGTGCACTGGAAATAAATTTTCCTCTGGGTTCAGTTCTGCTGGCTTCTGTTGGGCTCGGCCAGGCATGCTGACTGGCCAGGCAGTCCTTCAGCCAAGCCAAGTGAGCAGGCGGGGCTGTGCTCTCTGTCCCCCACTGGGAGAGCTAGCACTTGGGGCAGCAAGGCTGAGCCTCGAAGGGCCAGAACCAGCGGTGGACAGCTCCAGAAATTTTGAGTCTGCTGAGCTGAGCCAGCTCCTGAGGACACCAGACCACTCCGCAGGCAGCTGGGGGGGTGGGGGTGGCCTGGGGGCTGAGGACCGGTGAAGTCACCATGGCCTGGCCAGGGCGCCGCGGCAGGAGGAACTCGAGAGTCCAGTGTCCAGCTGGGCCCGGGCAGAGGGGACCGAGACAGGCTCCCAGGTGGGGCCAGGGAGGGAGACTCAGGAACCAGGCAGGCCAGGTGGGTGTGCGGGGCGGGTGCTGACGGTGGGGGGGACAGGGGAGGAGCGAGAGGGGAGAATAAATCGCCAGCCAGAGGCCTCGCAGGCGGCTTAAATCCAACCCTGGGCCACTTCTCAATCCGGTCCGCGTGTGTCCAATTTGGCCGGCGGACACCGGCGGGGGTTGCCGGTTGTGTGGGCGGGGGGGTAGGGAGGGCGGGACCCTCCGGGCCTCCGCCCAGCCGCGCAGCGCGGCCTGGGGGCGGATCTGGGGGCGGGACCTCCATGCCTTCCTGGGCCTGGTTCTGCACCCTCATGCCCGCCGCGGGGCCTTCTTCCCGGCCCAGGCGTCCAGGGGGAGCCAGGGACAGAGGCTCCCGCTGCGGTGAGTCCTGAGCCCGGCGCCCGCGGCAGACGGGAGGGCGGAAGGCGGGTTCGGGGCCCGTCCACAGCCCCGGAGGTCCGCCGCCGGCTGGCGCGCGCTTCGGTTGGGAGACTGGTGGATGGCTGTGGGGTTCTGCGTCCCAACGCCAACACTAG